AGACCACTTTTAAAGAAAAAGAAAAAAAAATTATGATGTTAACAATCAGCATTTGTCAAAATATTTTAATATCAAAAAATATAAAATTTTTAGGACAATAGAATCACGTGCAAAGCTCGGGATTTATTATGGGATCAAGGGCAGATACAATTGGAGATTTCGTACAATTGTTTAGTTGTTGTACCTTTTACACTATATGGTGTATATTTATATAATTTTGTTATACTCATTAGAAAATTAATATGAAGCGCCAAGGAGTTTTTGCCAAATCATGATCGTCCTTCTCCTCCATGTGCACTGCACATGTATATTGATATTTTTGTTTGTTGAAGAATTTGCTTTGAGATGAAATCCAGATGAGATTTGCATGAAGTGGAAAGCTCCTTTTTGTGTCTTGAGACCTAAAACAAATGAGTGTATTTATATAAAAAGCCTAAAATTCATCGATGATGCTTCCAGATTAACTCAAGGATAAGACTGCAGAAGAGATTTTCATGAAGAGAAAAACCCTCTTTTGTATCTTGGGACCGAAAACAAATAAGTGTGCTTATATAAAAAAGCATATAAATTTGATTCTCCTCCGATGGATTATGGGTGAGAAATTCTCTCTTTTTCTCACAATGCACATCTAAATACATGATATGTATTTTTATTTATTAGATGGGATATGAACATGATCATTTTAACTTAATTTTGAAGACACATATCATACATCCAGAAGTATATGGCAGAAAATCGAGAGAATTCAATAGAGGAGACAAGTGCAAAGCATTAGGGATAATGCTTCAGATTAACTACTAAGACCTCTCCTCACACTTGCCTGGGTGTGCCATGTCAGCCTTCAAACATGTTCGATGTCAATAGTACACCTGCTCCGCATTTAGTTCCACCGCCCTCGTTTGTATTAGCAAGATTTGGACCACTTAATTCTTTCTGTGATTTCCAACGGGAGAACATTCTCTGCCCAGCTTTTCATGGAAGAAAAGCTATTTTTTGTTTTCTGTTATGTTACTCTCTTTTTTTTTTTGGCGTTTTTATTGTTCAGTTCTGTGTTTAGCTTCTCTATTCTGTTGCATGTGTTCTGCTGCTTTGGTTTCTTGCCCTTCGCATTATCCTCAGCATCCTCCTGCCTACTGCTGTTGTTTCTTCAGAAGACAGTTATTCATTATCTTCCTCTTTTTTTTCCCTTCTTATTTTTCCTCAGATGACGCGTTGTTATAGCTGTGAAAAGTGATCTAGAATATTTTTCGTGGTTCTCTTTTATCTGCACGCTACTTCACATTTATCCTACATGGTGGTTTACATGTCTTGCATTTTATTATTTTCTTGCTTCCTGAGATTTGGTGAAACTACATATATAGGCAAACACAGAGAACGGAAAGAAAAGCAATGTTAACTGTGATGCATTAGAAAAAATTCTGAATTGAGAAGGGATGACTACAGAGTTCCAGAAAGAAAACAATATCGCTTTAACCACAGTTTTAAATACTGAAATTAGTGAAACAGACTGATTACGTTCGTAGTCTATGAAATTATGAAATTTTGCATGCAGAGAATAGATTTGTCCAATTTACAATTTTTTATATCAATAACTTAAGTTGCTTAATTGATTGCAGCAGAAAGGGAAACTGCGTCCAAAATCCAAACTTGAGACAATAGAGTGCGAAGAATCAGCACTTCTATGACATCATATTTCAAATTTTAATCAATTGAACTATGTAACTTGACAATATAGATTCTCTTTTCACATGAATAAAACTGTTGGAGATTAATAAACTTCAGAAAGAGTTACCAGAAGATGTTTGAAAAACCAAGAAAGCAGCCAAGGTAGTTACTTTCATTACTTTGCATTCGCTTATTGGTTTTTACGCATCCTTGTTTCTCCGCACTGAAGTTGTAAACTGATCAGGCTGTACTCTTTAGTTGTTCTCATTGTCTGTCTTCCTTTCTTCCAGATATTTTGCTCTTGGTTTTCTGGATTCCAGGTACTTCCTTTCCTTCCAACTTTATGAACTTGGTTATTTATTGAGGCTGCATGTTTACGTGCTTGCTATACCCTGATGCTGTTTATTCAGAGGAAAGTTTCCTTTTAGAAATATATGGTGTTTGTTTCTGTTTTTTTTTTTTATTTTCTGGAGGGGGAGTTTATTTTTTTTGCTCGCAAGCTATGCTTCTTCAAGGTAGTATGCTGTGGCTTGCAGAAGTTAGTCTATCAAATAGATAATTCGTGTGATGGTTTTAAATTTACTTTGACAATTCTTCTACTATATATCGTAATTACGTATTCTCTTTAGCTTTTGCTCCGCTGATTTTTTTTTTTTTTTTTGGGTATTCCTTGATGATATTTTTTGTCTTGTTGAAGATATTTTGTCTAATCATTACCTTACATGACAAAATGTTTGCGCACTATTAGTTTAGTCTCTGTGAGTTCCATGGACACAAGCACCAAATGCCATCAAAGGTATGCAAAAATGCCACGTGATAAAAAAGATGACCTCTTGCACTGTCATCGAGAGGCTAATGCTGCAAAGAAACATAAAATGTCTTCTGCTGCTTCTGATTCTGCTGCTCAAGGTCGCACGTGTAAGAGAAAGCATGCGAGTCATGTTTGCAAAACACCATTAGGCCATATAGAAACAGGTGTATCTGTCCCTGGAGATTCTAACCAGGACTGTTATGCTGAGCATCCTAAGGTTGTGAGTGGTCAGCATTTAGAAAGTCGTCTGTCTTATTTCCCTGAGCCTAGAAATGCTATCGACAGTGATGAATTAGAATGGTTGCTAGACTCTGTATGCAATGAATTAGAATCTACTCAAAGGCATGCATCATCTTCTGTCAGTCCGGTTACTACTATCCCATCTGATAGCCAAGGTACAGCTATTCTTTGTTTTTGGAAAAAAAAAAAAGAAAAAAAAGAAAAAACTGTTCTTGTCATCTTTATATTGTATTAGAAGTCTCTTAAAATGCTTTGCCAGTGGCTACTCTTTGGTGATACTTGCATTTTTGAGCTGTTCATGGTTTCCATTGGCTTTGTTTTCCTGCATAGTTTTCATTCAGTGAAGCCCTTACTACTGTTTAATCAATGCATTCCTATGAGTATTGTTACAGATTTCGAGCTGCAGATAGTTCTGCTTCTAGGAGTGGATTGTTTTGTGTTTGCACTTTTGTATACTCTTTGCTACATCTTATTTGTATTGTCTTGCATCTTCCCGGAATTCCTGTCGGACCTTTAGTTTTCAAAAACTGCCAGCAACAATTTTCAATACTCAGAGAATGCTGGCAGTAGCTTAAATTGGTCACTCCACTTTTAGAAAGCTCTGTCATAAAGTTTACATCTTCAAAGATTATCACCATCAGGTTTACTTAGTAACTGAATTTTTACAAAGTTTTGTGTTACAATTGCTTCAGAATGAAAACAAATCCCTATATTTAGTAATTCGCCATGCCAATTTCGTTAGGTCTGTTTTAATCTTTGTTAGCCTGCTGTCAAAGTGTACTAACAGGAGAATCTACCTACTTTATCACCTTTGATAAGTCTCAGCCATCTACTTCTAGAACTCTGAAACATGTTCTGCTGAGCACAAAGCCATCTGCTGGGGGTTGGCTTAAATTTTCTTATGTTGACATATCACAAAATGCATTTGTAATCAAACAAACAGGTTGTTCTGGCATTTTCGATGTATTTGTTCGTTCCTTTCAATGTACTCTCTGAGGCATGCTAAATAACTCTTTCTTGCTTTTTCATTGTACTATCTAACACCCTCTGAAGCAGACTTCAAGATTAACTGGATAACCAGACAGATAGAGAACATCTCTGGTTCATTGTACTGCAACCGCTACTTCCTTGAATGAGCAGTGTATTTTCTAGCACTTACTAAGAAAGGCCTATAAATGAACTCACAAAATAGATAAGGTATATCTTTGGTCCATTGCAACTTATCTAATGCATAAACTTTCTGCAACATTTATATACCTTAATCAGGTTCACATTTTCTTTCCAATTGGAAAACTCCTGATGCAGTTATTTGCACATTCTTTCCCAATCAAAGCCTCACATGATCACTTAAATGTAATTCACCAGAATTACATTTTTTATATTTCATTTGAGGCCAAGCCAAGATTTAAAACTATGACCAACTTAAACAGTTTGTAACATACTATTTTATATATAGTATTCATCGGTGCCTTTAAATCTTGGGCATGGTTAAATTTTACCACCATGCGCAAGCACAGTGTTCCTCTCCTAGTAAATTTTATTTGTGTATACCATATCAATGCAAAAAATATATCCATCTCTATAAGTATGGACCCACATTATACGTGAAATATATTAATCGTACCTAATCTGACCTAACCCAACTGTACTTGTCCCGTTCCCATATATGTGTGTGTGTGCCCATGCACTTGTATTCCCAAAAATAATTTAATTAAAGGAAATACAAACGTGAGTTTTTGTTCCTCTGAATCTACTCCAGTTAGCATATAAAGATAAAACAAACATGAGTTTGGGCTCATAAGGCAAATGTGGATGGCGTTCTTTGACTAATTCCTTTCAATTGTGTTCAAGAAGCAGAAAAGGCAGCTTAATTAGATGAGTAAACGTTTCCCAACTTAATCAAGCAAAGTCCATCTTCCATCACAGATTTTGCAGGAACTCCTACTCACTTTCTTTGCATTAAAATGACTGGGATCTTGGTTTTCAACATAAAGTACATTGCATATGTGGCTAAATTTCTGCTAAGACAGCATAATAATGATAACATACTCAAAACATTTCCTTCAGCTGAGAAGAGTGGGTTTAAAATGAGTACAGGCAAAACAAACGAAAGAAGCACACCGGAGCCAGCCCCCTCAACACTTAGCTAAGGAAGATTTACAAGTTACTCAGAAAGCAGCCTTTCGTATATATTATCAGGCTTGGATTCCACATTTTCACCGTCCTCTAACTTGTGTATTGGCCTAATTTTACACCATCCGTTCTGCTGGAAATATAGCAGCATTGCCAATATAACCACAATTACGCCAATGGTTACGTTGCCATGCTTGTAATATGATTCCACACCCAAATACTCAAATTCAAGCTCGCTATTGGTGGGATTTGGAACAGGATCACTTGCATAATCGTAAGCCTGGAGCACCAGTCTGATAGTCGTGAATCCCAAGTAGTACAGTTTTCTGAGAGGCTTACCTTGGACTCCCCATACAGCATTTCCAATGATTTGTGGTAGCAAGAAGCAATCTTGAACTAACCCGCTATAGTTTTCCAACTCTGTCCACCATCTTTGCAGCCTTCTGATGTTAGCACTTGCAACACTGTTTTCTGACTGCAATAGTAATGGAATTCCATATATTCTGCGGATGGTGTGAAGGGTGAAAAATCCGAGCATATGAATGAGCAAGAATAAAAGGAAAACCAATTTATCGCTTGGAATTCTTAGATTTAAGTTTATAGCTTGACCTTTCCGTAGCTTTCGCGATTCCCAGACTCTCTGCAGAAGCTTTGCGGTTTCCAGAAGTGCAATCAACATTAGAAACTTGATGAAAAGGTCAAGAGATTGAAATATATGAAAGTTCTGAAATTGATCATATGCTGAGCTTTTGTATGGTGCGAATTCTTTCCATCTGAGCAGCACTTCATCACCTGTGATCAATGGGATGCTGAAACCAAGAGCATGGAGCCCAAGCATGACCAATGATATATAAGCCGTGGTGTGTCCCTGATTCTCAGTGTAACGTAATTGGCCATGAATACAGAGAATTGCCATCACAAGCAACAGGACACGAAGCCCCTCCTCGAAGCCTTTCCGTACCATTAAAAAATCAAACTTCTTGCTATAGGAAAGCAGAAAGGTGTTACTGCTTATTGGAGAGAGATAAAGTGGATCTTCTTTAGTTCTTTGGCTGTTGATTGAAAACTTGATATTAGGATTCAATAACCACCTGGCGTTTTTTGCAGAATATTCCACTTTGATTTCAATTGAGCAGTCCATCCCTCCTTCAAGGTCTCTGTCATCATTATTGAAGCCTTGAAACTGTAGTACATCCCTGCAGCCGATCAGATACATCTGTCCGAGGGTTGGATCATATATCCCCTCAAAGAAAAGAGAAACATTAGAAAATTGACCACCTTCAACTTTGAGATGCCCTGAGACTTCAATTTCTTCAGAAATGGAATGGAAGGCCTTTTCAGCTTCAGGATTTTCTTGATATGAGTGTGGATCATAGCGTCCAAACAATGAACCTATGGACAGAAGCACCATTTTGACATTAGTCTTCGGAGCCTGGCTGTTTGTCAAAGTCTGTGGAGCAGCCCGGACTTCAATTGACAGAACATCAGTTAGGAAAGAGAAACTGGCAATATCTTCGCCCTTAGATGTTGGATATTGGAGAATTGAATTCCTCAAAATTCTTTCCCAATTGGAAGGCTGGCTTCTACTCTGGAACTCCCTTGCCTGCTTTAGCTTCGTGTAGGTGTATGACCATTTGAAGTGATTGTCCCTCGGGTGCGTACTCGTAAACTCAATGGGAGTAGTCAACTTCTGAAACATAAGAGAAGCATGACCATCTGCTGGATTGATGCTGCTTATGGTACCCACCACTCTACTGTGTTGCTTGATAGAAAAAGTAAGAGGGAAGTATAGAGTGATCCGAGACTTGCATCTATCTGAAAGATAACCAGCAGGTCCAATGCAACCAACCATGCAGAGCTGCCCATGAGAAGAATGCCACCTTCCCTCTGAAGAAAGTGTCATGGTGGAAAGCCCTGTTCTTTTCTCTTCTTCCCTATAGAGGTATTCTGATTTCTGTATCACTCTGAAAACAGCAGATACCATTGCGGTCTGGAACCCCTCTTGATCAGTGCCAGGCTCGCAGACTAATTCCTGAATCATAAGCCTGAGTTTGTCAGAACTATTATAACTAGCTTCTATCTCATTGCCAAGTAAGAAAGGGCCAATCTTGCTGCTACCATTTGTAATTCTGACAACATTTTTCCAGGTGGATGCAAATTCAAACACTTCGTTCCAAACAAATTGCCTCAAGTCCTCACAGAAATCATGTCCTTTAAACATCTCAACATCTTGAACTTCTTGATTGATCAAAGAATCAGGATAAGGATAAGGACTGCAGGCCCTTGCCACAAGTTTTTCAGATCCAAACCTGTACGTCGATCCATCCCCTGGCTGGGAGGATATGTGAACTTTATCAAAGTATGCTGGTTTTCCCCCCTGGTTTAAGCTTTTCAATTCTCCAGAGATGCCTCTGCTGGTCAAAGTGAAGGTCTTGGGATACTCAAGAACAAGAATGATCTGATCATCCTGCAAGGTGGAGGGCAGGTTGTTGACTTTTGGCTGGCATGGACTCTGCAGATCTCCATGGTCACACGAATCTAGTTTCTGAGTAGAATCCTTTGGAATGGTTGCATTCCCCAACAAACACATCAATCTCCTCCCTCCATTCTCCTGGGACTCAAGATAGATACCTTCAAAGATAATTGTGAGCTTATTAATGCCCCGCTCCAGGTAGAGCTTTGGGGACCAATCGTAAGGCTTGTATGAAAAAGAACCACTTCTGATTCTTCCAATTTCCATTACACCACTCACACTAACTGTGTTTTTAGCTCTACGAGCCGGATCAACATCGTTGACCCAAAAAGAGACTAAATTGAGTGGAGGGCCATAGCCAAAAGTGTTACTAGGCATTTCCCTGCTATCAATTGGCAATAATGGTACTCCACCTGGTTCCTGATTCCAATCTCCATTCCTGAAGAAGAGCTCTTTCTTCATTCTTCCGCTTCTATTATCGTCGGGCGGTAACTCTGAAGCAGATGAAATAAGAAACCCGCAATGCTTTTCAACCTCTGGGAAACGAGCATAAGAATATGTGTTTGAAGGATTGTCTAGTGTTGGAAAATCATCACGAAAGTGTGGGTATGAAATTGCAACTGGAACAATGAGAAGCAGCACTAGTAGACCCCATAGATGATGAATCTCAAGGCACAGAATATTGCCCATTAGCTTTTATTTTGCTCCCCTCTCTTGCTGCCTATGTTCAGTATATGACCAAACAATCACCTTGAGGAAAGGATATCTTCAACTAGCTCAAGATAGCTAAAAATGCAACAACAGGAACACAAAACTGAGATATGTCCAAAAGTGGAGATTTGTGTTGGTTTTGCCACTCCTGTTTTTGATCCTCTTCTGTTTTGTTGGTTGACTCGAGATGATAAGAACTCTTCTAGTTACTTTTTTTTTTTTTGGATAGAGTTGACTTCTTAGTTTCAAGAATTTTTATGGAACAAACAGTTTTAAGACTTAAAAGTCCTTAACATACCAAAACTTGAAACATTAAGATATTGCCTCCTAAAAAAATATTAAGATATTGTCAAATTACAATTACATGTGTAATATTTCATAAGCCAAAAGGTGGGTTCTTTTGTAAGGGGAAAGGCTCCTCTGTCTTTTCCCTTCTTGCTCCCAGACATGGAAGTGAAGATTGAGACCAAAATGCAACAATTCTAAAATGCGAGGGATCAAATTTGAGTGACTTAAAATGTTTATATTGATAGTATGATAGTGTGGGTTATTTTCCCAAGTAATTAAGCAGATTGCTTTTTTTTCTTTTTTGTCGAGCGGAAACATCTACACTCTGTTCCCACTTTAATTTATGCTAAGAGGTCCAACTGGGGCAAGGAGACTAGAAGGTACCAGTCCATGAGAGGGATGCACTAATACATTATCTTGCTTTACCGTCAGAACTACATTTTATACTTAATTATAGGCTTTGTTCCAAGTGGGTTATCCCTTCAAACATCAACGGCGTTGAGTGTATTTGAATTGTAGATTATTTGGGATAATTTTTTGAATAAAAAAAATACTATATTACATTTTTAATGTGATGTATGTGAGATAAAAAAATGCAACAGATCTTCTATTTCACTTCTTGTACTACACTTTGTCTCACTTTTTATTCTATTGTTATTTCTCCTTCATAAATATCGTATTTTAATTTTTTTTTGTTTCCTTAAAATCCAACAAGTATTAATTGAATAATACACAAAATCAAAATACACAAAAAATGAGATTTTTCTAATGAATTTTTGCGATATTTTTTATTTTCTATTATATACTATTTTTTTGGAAACTGTTGTATTAATTTAATGAATTCAAAAAATCAAAATACACAAAAAAAATGAGATTTTTTTAATGAATTTTTGCTACATTTTTTATTTTCTATTATATACTATTTTTTTTTGAAACTATTGTATGAATTTAATGAATTCAAAAAATCAAAATACACAAAAAAATGAGATTTTTTTAATGAATTTTTGCTATATTTTTTATTTTCTATTATATATATTTTTTTAACTTTTGTATTTATTTTTTACTCAATTGATAGTTATTGGATTTTAAAGAACAAAAAAGAATTAAAATACATTCTTTGTGAAAAAAATTAGCAATGTAATAAAAAATAGGACACAGGATGGCACCAGCGAGACAAAAGATTCATTACAAATAAAAAGGTGGTTGAAAAATTTTTTTTTGGAAATCGCAGTCAAAAAAGGTGGTGTTCCCACATAAACTATTAAGTATTGAATTGGTCTAAAGTTTGATGTCAAATTTTGCTGCCCAAATTCAAAAGGAATAAAATATCTTACAAGATTCCCCTAAAAAACAAAATATATCACAAGAAGATCATGGTACCGTGGATCCCGGGTCATCCATATTAAACAATTCCTTGATTAAAAGTTAGGGTCAAATTACTACGAAACTACCCAATGCCTAGTTAAATATATAAGCTTATTCCCGAAGACTCCATAGCTATTTGCCAAATCAGGTTTGACTTATTCGAATGATCTGTCTTGGAAGTGAATCAGTGATTAGAGTCAAGATAACGTTCGACTAAAGAGCCTTTTTTCTTTTTAAATTGTCCATTTAAATGCAACAACTGGGCATTTATTTGATTGTGTTAAATTAGTGCCTGCATGAATATATATATATATATAGTCAAGAACATGGAGGTCTATGACTTTATATTGCTGACCAAAAGATTAGTTTTAATGTGAAAATGAATGAGAAGTAAGAAGAAACTTCGCAGTAATTTAGCCACTGACCCTTGAATTTGTTTATCAATTTAGTATTTACTTGAGATTGATCTTTCTGCTGCTAATGGCCAAATTAATGCTTCTTTCATGGTAAATTTTAGTTAGTGTGTGATTTTTCCTTTCAATTTGCATTAACTTTTATCATTATCATTGTCATTACTCTATAAGAAAAAGTATGATGAGTCTAAGCATTAGCCCAAGACTTTAGTTGGGAGTGGGAGGTGAATGATCAATGATATAATAGCAAAAATATTCTATAGCACATAAAACGTATTAAATATAAAATGAAAGTTCAATAGACTATAATTAGGAACAAGAAATTTTTAAAAAATAAAGAAAAATACATTTAAAAATGTGAAGGAATAGACTCTATACTTTTTAATTTATTCACTATTAATGTGAGGCATTCAAAATCATAGTTGAAACTTTTGCAATTTGTATGATACTTGAATATGAATATATATATATATATATATATATATATATATATATATATATCTTAAATATATAAAAGGGAGAACGTTCATTTACTACAGTGCAGCATGGGCCGGTTTCTATCGTAAGTGTCTTCGCAGAGTCCATTTATCGAAACACTCATACAAAAAACTGTGAGTTATGAAAGGGAAAAACCTGTCTCGGGGAGTCTGGGGGGTCTTTACTTCTTAGCAGCAGGACACCCTGTGGGGTTAAGTTCCCACATCGCTTGGGGGGGTTTGGGGGGTTTAGTAGTTAAGTGCTGCGGAGCACTTCAAAAGTTGCCGGCTTTTGAAGTGTCTTCGCAGGGTCCATTTATCAAAACACTCATACAAAAAACTGAGAGTTATGAAAGGGAAAGGAAAAGTCAACACAGGAGCTTTTCCCCTCAATGGCTTACAATAGCCTACGAGAATGTTTCCTTTACAAGTCCACAATTGCGGCTGGACTTCAATTTGCTACCAAGGAAAGGAAAAGTCAACACAGGAGCTTTTCCCCTCAATGGCTTACAATAGCCTACCAGAATGTCTTTCCCTTATTATTATTAATTATTAACATCTAATCTAATCTAAAATATATAAAAGGAGCAACGCCCTACAGTGCAACCATGAGCCGATTTCGATGATAATTCGAATGACTTCACGGGGTATTTCGGTCTTTCTAATGTGGCATAAAGGTCAAATTTGTGGCTCCTGAATTTTCTGATATTGACTTTACATTTTCTTTCTCTATAATGCCCTTGGTGGTCAGGTTTTGCCCGTAAATTTGGAGACTTGTGTGTCCGTTTATCAATGTTTGGTTAGCCTTTCTTATAATTTTGACCATATGTGTGCTCTTTTATTGTTCTTTTCCTTTACCTTATCGGGATTACCCGATGGGGTTGAGCCCCAGGAGTAAAAAATGCCCATTTTTTCTCTCATTTCTTCATCGTTGTCTCACTCTTCAGCTCATCTTCCCATCAATCATTCTCTTATGGGTTAATTACATTTACCTCCCCTGAGGTTTGATCATATTACCAATTAATCCCTGTAATTTATCCAAATAACGGTCTCACCCTTTGAATGATCAAACATTTAACAAAAACCCCCTTAATATCGAAAATGTCCTTATTGAGGCCATGTTGCATTAAAGAAAAACATATTTTTATTTTATTAACCCTGAAGCAATCAAAAAAAATAAAAAAAATTTTGCTTATTATTTTAAAAAAATCATATCTTTGCTTCCATAAATAGTTTTGAATCAATAATTATTTTAAATCTTAAAATAAATATTAAAAATTAGATAAATTGAAAGAAAAATAAAAAAGAAACAATTATTTTAAATCCTCAACTATGGTTCGAATTTGTGGTTCAAGGCATGTTGCGGAGAGCACAAAGCATGTTCTATACTTACTAAGATTGAGGGTAATAGGTTGTGACTTTAGTATTTATGTTCACTTGTAGCCTTTCTATTATTGAAATTTGCAAATTATTTCTTGATAATCTTACGAATTAATTATATATGTGATGAATATCATTGTTAAGTTGTTAAGCTTAAAACGACTTATAAATCTCAACTTATTCAACCGTTATTGTAAATCTCAGACTCTCTTAAAATATGTATTGCTAAGTTATCTACATTTTCAAAACACAACTTTGTCAAATCCAACATAAACCTTTCTGCATTTCATGAAGTATAATAACATAAAGGAGGGCTTGCGCTAACATTTCTCTTAATTATTTAAATACTTTGCACAAACAGTATTAACATGGTTGAAAACATAGTTATATTAGTATTAACATATCCAAACACTTCTAAGACAAACTGCAAATGAAACTTTGAAAACAAATTGACTTGAGTTCTTATCCTATGTTTAGAATTCTTTTTCTGTGGTTTATATGCTTAACAATTAAACGCTTGCATATTGTATAAGCAAGTGCAAGATTTACTATAATCCCAAAAATGTGCCCTTTTCTTTTGGACCGACTTTCCTTTGTTTTCTAATAAATCTAACGCATTCTTTCTTCTTTTGGCTATCTACATTGAATTCTTCTAATGTTACAATTGCAAAGCTTTAAAAATATGTGAAGAAAAATAATTTTTTCTCTTTTTTTTCATTATGGAAACACCAAATCTCCTTAATTTTTATTTATTGCTTTAGGGAATGTTATCCTTAAATGTCGCACTAATATTGCACCAAATATTCATCCAAGTTATTTTTTAGAAAAACATTTACAAGAATTCTTACTTTTATCGCCTGTCAAGGGATTTTTTTTTTAATTCCTTTACCCAGCTTATCTGATTTGATTTTTTTTTTTTTGTGGATAAATAAGCTGGAAGAAGAGCATGCCTGCAGCAAGTGATAAGTGATTATGATACAAGTTTTAAGATTCAACTCTGATAACACTTCAGTATTTGTGTTCACTTGGAGCTATTCTAATATTGTTTGACTTTTAATTGTAGTAATACTCTTTCATATTACAGCAATCATTTGAAAATTAAGTTTAACTCCCTGGCTTCGTCACGGGCTACCCGCGCTGGGCGCGGGGGCCAAAAACTAGTATATATATAACTTGTGCAATGTTACCTTAGTTGCTATTTCAAAGTTATAGTAATCAAAGAAACGAAGAG